TACAAGCTGGAGCGCATCTGCTGCTACTTACACTACGCTACAATTAGTGTAGTAGACAACCCATCTAGCGTGTGGTCTTCCTATTCTAAAACGATAGTGTAGCCATTTGAATGATCACATCGGGGTTGTCGTGACTAGTAGGGTGGGAAGAGGTCAGAGCGCAAGTATTACGCCAAGATAAAGGCGGTAGATCCAAAATATGACAGTATGACCACATTTCTCCGTGCCGTCATCAAGAACACCACCTCTGTTTCTTCTGAATACTTGTAAAAAGCGCTTGGGGTAGGTGGTATTCAATGTCATGCTTCGAAGGAGTGGCCGCATTACCTGTGACCTGCCTACTTGATGAACTAACGAGCTTCGCCAATCAGACGAACCGACGGCACGGTTGTCAGACTATAGCCGCACGCATCCTACTCTCACGATCGTCCGTTTCTGCGCCGTTTCTATGGCTTTCGTGCGAAACTACTGCAAGTTAACGCGTCCACGGAGTGGCAACGTTTACTTTACGGAGAACCTATTGGACCAGCAATTTTTTATCAGGTCATTCTCACTTTCTACGTTTAGTATTCGGGGCTCCGTACCATGTGTAGAGCTGAAGATGGTCCAATATCCGGTGAAAACGAGAATATAGCCTACAACTACTACTATGGATGTAGATAGGTCACACACTAGGCGTATAGTGTAGACTAGATGGTTACGAGATAGCGTAGGCCAATAGTAGCTGCCGGCTATTACAAGTAACTAAGACGTATTCTTCCCCATCTCTCTCCGCTCTACTTGGAGTATAGTGTCGAACGGCTGAAAAGAGGGTTCGTGCTAGGTCAGTATACTAGTACACTAGATGTGAATTGATTTACTAGATCTGTGATACACTTCTCGTGGCCCCGATAGCCAGCGTAGTTTCTTTGTCCACGCCGAGTTCCCGCTGTTTGCGGACTTATCAGACACCTAAGTCGCGTGCGCCCGAAGAACCTGTAAGGGGGCCACGGAGCCACTTTGGCGTTTATCGGCCTGCTCGTACCAGGTACTATGTAATAGAAACTTAAGCCACCGTTGAGGTTGTCCGTTTGCATCGGTTCAAGACAACGATATCGGAAGGTCGGTCACAAGACTTGAAGGTCCTGTCTGGTCACTGTCTGGTCACCAACGTGTAGTGTAGATTTGGGATACCGTACCTTGAAACCCCTGAACCTGGTCGGCTTGACGTTTCCAGGTTTCCACGCACCAGCTGCCGGGCTCAAATTATTCAGGGTAAGGTACACTACACTACTGTTGCTCAGGGGCGTAGCACCTCCTATCGTACACTACCATTACATAGAAGTAATTACCCTGTCAATAATTCACTGAATAGTATATGTACTTGAAATCCCAAGTAGTGTACAGGAGATGTGAAATACACTATAATAGGTCATCGGAACTGCCCTGCTTTGAGTTTAGAGCGATACGAGTATCACGAAGCTTGCTTCTAGAGCCCCTCCACTTCTTCTATTCTAGGTATAGCCAGTAAGCCCATTTGCCCCCTGGCGATGCCCTGGTCCTCCTTCTCTCCACATTTCATCATGGCCGAGACGGTATTTTCAGGAGTTGCATCTTATTCCTTCACACACATCATAGTGTAATTGCAACACACTGTACCTACGTAGCGCACTATGCAGTGTACTATGTAGTGTACTATGTAGTTAGTGTTGTAGGTTAGTATAATTGGCCACCCTGATAAGGTAAAAAGTACTGTAGTGTATAATTGATAGTCTGACCTTGCCTATACACTACTAGTGTCCTGAATATATTTAAATTAATTATGTGAGTGTGCAAGGATCAGCAGATTCCCACGAAGGAGCCATGCGGTCGGCGCAATCATAGTTGACGACTCTCTCCCTAAATAGATACCTACTGTATACTGTAGGGATGTACCTCATCCCGTACTCTCTCTCTCTTTTTTTTTTTTTTTTTTTTTTTTTTTTTTGCCTTTTCATACCACCCCTTCCTTGCTGGCAGGCGGTTGGTTAGCTTTTCTTTCTTTCTGTTTTCGCGTCTTGCGTGAGGCTGTTCATGACGAATTAAGTTGTCAGTCTGTAGGCGATCTCTGCGCCCATCGCTTGCATTGCGACCTCGGATTCTCTTGATCAGCTTGAACAAAAGCCGGTCACCACCTGGCCTTTCCTCTCATTACTATTTTCTCAGTATGACGGTTTGACAACAGTTAAAGAGTTCAGTCTCTTTTTACTTCCGGATTATGGTCGGCTGTGCGCGATTGCACTTGTACACACTGACGAGAGTCCGATCTGAACGCTCCACGTAACTCGCGCCATAACTATAACGAGTAGTCGCTGTAGTCAATATGGAGGACATTCTTCTTGTGCCCCCAGATCGGGGTACAATTCTTGGAAGGCCTGTCTGGAAGGTAATCTAGCCATTGTCGACAATTACGTACCTGTTACCCCTGGTCGGGATGCTAACGAATCTTACCTCTAGCCACGTTATGTTGTCGTTGGCCCATTGTCTCAAAAAGAAAGTCAACAGCCAAATCTCTCGCTTTCCCAGGTTTTGTCTGCTGGCCGCATCGGGAGCGTGGGGGGTTGGTCTTCGAAATCGCAGCTGAGGGGTCCTACGGACGCCATCTACCTCTCAGTTTATAAGTCCAAGGTGGGCTCCAGGTTCTTTGTGGATGTCTCAGTTGTGTTTGCTAACACTACAGCAGGAGGATGCCGAACCAATTCAGCAGCATTCGATCGCATCGATAACTGAGTGTCAAGTGCAACAGATTGCTCACCGGAAGCAGGGCCATGTTCCTACTCTTGCTATTCAGATTTCCCCCGATCCGGCAACTGACAAGCTGCGAAAACGCCGGTCTAGCCGGTCTGGTGGGTTAATCACGACCAAGGATTCGGGCCCAATAACTCTATGGTTCCTTACTTCCGAAGGATCGCAGTACGGTTTAGATGACTGGGCAAGGTATATTCAATCGCTCGTACAACGACATCAATCTATGCCTATGAGTCCGGTTAGCCCAACCGCGCCGGTCTTCACTAGCCCATTTCCTCCGATGCAGGATGTCATTGAAAAATCTTCGCCTATGTCTAGTGCGAAAGGAAAGCTAAGATCGAAGTTGCAACCAAAAGCATCCGGCAGAACCCTACCGACAACACGCGACCAAAGTTCAGTATACACCCCCGGGTCCCCTAGCCTTCGCTCTCGCAAGAGTGACCTTTCTTCCCGTGCTAGCTCCATGGTACCCGCTGCTATGAATTTTGTGCAGCAGCATTACGCCAACTTTCCACAATCCGAACTGCCTTCGCCCGCTTCCACCGTAGACGAATACCCGGAACGGTTGGTAGAAGGGTGGACGACATCACAAGGACGGGCCTCAACTGTGAGCTCCCCTATCATGGGACGCGCGAGCATAAGTTCTTCCCAAAGTCCTCTACAGCCTAGTCTAGAGTCCAGCCCACGTATGGCACCTCGTGAGACTATCTTGGACCGGGCTTTTCAAATGCGGTATATCCCTGGCTCGGAGCGCGAGATTGCTGGAGAGGAGAAACTTACCTCGCTTGCCAGATTTGAGGCACTCATGCGTGAAACAGAAGATCGCCGGAGAAGTACGAAGGGGAAAGAGGTGAAAACAGAGCCATTAAAAAGCACATGGGAGGATGACGACAGCGACGAGGATGAGTTTGGTAAGGAGGTGGACGATGAAGATGAGGATAGTGACGACTATGCCTTTGAACATGCTGATCACGACAGAATGGAGGAGCCGGCATTCAAAGCGCTTCGATTCATCACCAACCGCCATAACTCAGCCTACAGCGAATCGAGATCGAACAACGCACCATCGGTTCTACGACCACACACGTCACACTCACGAAGCCGGCCGACGGCACAGCGGACAAGTAGCCAGCCCTACATTCCTGGCCCACCACTACAAATCCCGTCATCTCCTTCTAGACAGACAGAAGCACTTGCAATGCGGCGATCTCACGAGAAAAGACATTCTACTTCCGACGCGAAGAATCTAAGTTTTAATGAATTTACCAAACGACTGAGCGGCACGAGCAGTTTGCTCATACAATCGAACGCCAGCACCGGAAGCAATCGTGGCAGTGGCGATTACGACACGCATACGCCTCGCGGGTCCGTGAGCCCCCGAGGGACCAGTCAGACTCCTGATGAGCGATGTCGCTGGCGCGGTAGTATCGGTGTCCTGGGGAATGAAGGCGGATTTTTATGATTTTAGCAACCACGCCACATGATTCTTGCTTTACGAATTCTTCTCGAACTCCCTAGCATACCACTGGGAACCTCGTCTGTATTACTTTTCCCATTTAGCCCCATGGCCTATTATGTATGACCTTACGATAACCCACTACGGGTCCAGCGTTACGCGACATTAGACGGCATAGCGCGTCATATTTCTCATGATTCCCGGCTTACGACACGATGCTGATGCCCCTGGGAAAGCTTTTCTCTCGGCTATTCGATGAATCGACGGGAGACAAACCAACAAAACGTCTGAAACTTAAAATTACTTTGTTCGCAATCTAATGATTTGGATTCTCAAGAGAAATTTGTATTTGAACCGGGGGAAGTGGGGGATATTGGTAGATGAAGTGGCTTGTTTTGCCTCTCGCTTTCTTTCTTGATATTAGACTTGAATAGTTACTATTTTGATGATGTTAGATGGACAGAGCAGAAAGATATGGACACCCCTTGTTGGGACAGCTTCTTCAAAGCATGAGAGATACCCTTAGCAAATATCAATGTAGTCGGTAGCGAATCAGATTTATGATGATTATCAAGCAACCATGCCTTTTTTTTTCATTCAAGGCTGCATGTGATGGATACCAAGCGCAACTACCTACCTAACGGAGAGAGGGGGTATGCAATTGCGTGCATATGTCTTGTGTTTACTCCCCTCTTGAGACTAGTCGAATCTGATCAATTGTGAGAATAGGAATAAAAATAATAATAATTACAAATTAGTGTGATCCTACAAAAAGTGATGGACGAACGGGGAATTGAACCCCAGACCCTTCGCAAGCATTTCACTCTGAAATAGTCAGATTTATGCAAAGCGAATATCATACCTCTAGACCATTCGCCCAAATGTAAATGTCGCGGTGTAGCCAACCGATGGCAGCTTTGCATCGATCACGGGACTCGAACCCGCAGCCCCAGACTTAGGAGGTCTGTACGCTACCATTGCGCCAAATCGACGGTCGAGTTGCGGCCTTGTTAGTTGGCATTGTCAAGCAACCTTCCGAGTCTCGGTCTCGGAATCCGGCCTTGGTGATTGATTCTGTACCGACAGGACTAGGATTGTGGCATTGCAATTAGGAACCGCTAAACAATACGCCAACATAGCGGGAAGTTTTTTGTCTTTTTTTTCTTTTCTTTTTAATAAAAAAATGGGAAGAGGAGGGGGGTTGAGTTGGAAAATTGCTATCAAATGTAGTGAGAATGTCAAAGTTTGCTGTGATGGCTAAGGTACCTGATGAAAGCGAGCTTATTCTGTTCTACCTCTGCAGGAATACGAAAGTCTCTCTATCGCTACCTAGGTTAGGTATTTGACAAGATATTCCAAGTGCTCGTCTCAATTAAAACGATAAACCCCGCCGCAAGGCGCGTCGAGATGATTGCTGCATCTAATGAACCTTCGTTCACCCACCTTGCAAAAGGAAAAAAGGAAAAAAAAAAAAAAAAAACCTTGAGATGCCTAGAAATCGTCCCGCTCGTTAATTTTGATTTCTAATACTTGCGGACCATGATCTATCTCTCTAAGTCGGTGATCGGCAACTTATTTGCCAGTGAATGGCTAAAAAGCCTCGTTCGAATTCACATTCGACTACCCCGTCCGCACCTCTAGAATACACACAAACAAAAAGAGCCTTTCTAAAGTTAAGAGCTAGCCAAAGAGTAACTTTAGGATCCCTCGCGTTAATAATACTTATCATAACTTATACCTACCTACCTACCTACCTACCTACCTATGGTCGACACGTCTCCGATAGGTGATGCTCACTCACTCACAACCGCCTAATATCAGGGTATGCATAGAGGGGGATCGGCCCTCATATAGAGCCGCGGATACCTAATCCATAATGGCTTGCTTGTATGCGGACAGGGAATTGGCGTAGGTTACGTAGAAACCCCGTGAGTGAAAAAGTTTAAGAGTATATATACCTAGGTTGACAGTTTATATAAGTCACATGCGGCGATATAGGACGGAATAAAAAGCTTCAAGTTGGGATCGGAGACGCAGGAGGTAGTGACACCCACACAGAGTAAACTCGTCATTATACTCCCTTTTGCCTCTGTATCAAAAGGTTCCGCCTTCTCCCACCATATCTACCCAGTACCTATTCAATGTATACAGTAGCTAGTCAACTTACACAAGTACATGCGTAGCACACATCCGCCCCCCAGAGTGACGACAAACCCTACCTAAGCACCTTATAAACCGGCGTAATCGCCCGTTACGCCCTATCATACGACCACATGGTTACCCGAGGGGCTGGCGCAGAGCAACCGTGACACGTTATAAAGGGGGATGGATAGATGAATAGATAGCCAAGGCAGGCAGGCAGGCACAACGCGATGCTCGCGAGCATGCCGACAACTCTAGCTCTCTCTAATCGTCGACTGAGCCAAAAGAGAATCCGTTGCCCCTGGCTCATTTACATTTATATATATACCCAAAGCGAAGACAGGGCCGGTCCAGCTCTCCCTCTCACGAACTCAACTAATCACGCGCCGAAGCAAGCAAGCCCGCCTTTCTACCTGACCTCGGCATCCCAAGCCGCAAGACGCTCTTCCAACCGCCAATGACATATATCTCATACCTTCGTTATAGCGGTGTGTGACGAGTAGGATACGCAGCAGAGTGAGCAGGCAGCCGTCGATAGGTAGCCCTCTCATCCATCCCCTAAGAGAGCGAAGTCTAGCCCTGACACTCACAAGCTCGGCGCTTCACCCGGAGGAGGGAGGTGGGAAGGGGATTGGGCCGAATACTTGACATCTTAGGTATCTAACCATACCTACCCAGTGTTGAGCATGCCTGCGCTTAGCCTAGGTTACATCTCACCAGACACAGCTCCATTAGCAACCGAAGCATTACACGTGTAGGTAGGTAGGTAGGTAGGTAGTCAAGCTAATAAACGCCCAACTCCAGCAAAAAGAAAGAAAAAAAGGTCTCCGGACCACCTCAACTAACCATGGGCTACGGAAGAATGAGTAACAAGAGAATATTTTTGCATTTGGGGGTATGATACGAATAAAGTGTGCCTACTTAACCATCTACAAGTGGACTCCCCCCTTAAAAACCAACTAGCAAGCAAGCAAACCAGCACCAGCCAGCCACGCCGGTGCTCCCAATGCAATGATGTGTCTATGTGCTAACGTCGTAAAAAAACCGAGAAGTAGTGGAATGAAGCTACCGCTGTACAAAAAAGGCCGTGACTGGTGAAAAGCTATTCGCCTTAAAGGACACCCGAAACTCCGCCTCTCATGTTCATGGCTACAATGTGTCTTGCTAGCCGGGTATTTCTAACAACAGACTGGTAGTGTTCCCTACACTAACAATTCACTTTGTACGGATTCCCGGGTTGGAGAGGTATTTTATCCTCTCAACCTTGATTATGCTAAATCCCCTTGCGCCCACGAACTCCAGACTTAGTTTTGATGAAAAAAAGTCAGTCAATCTCAATAGCCGCCCCGCCTCTGCATAGCACTCGTATCGCTTCGGCTTCTATCCCTACCAGCGCCTTGGCGCACAGCATCGCTATAACTAGGAATCGGGGGGTTGTGTGGACGGAGCGCAGCGGCAGAAGCACCACGACTTCGGGCTGGAGTCCTGATTAATGGAGCAACATCACTTTCAGAACCACTGCCTGAGCCATCCTCATCAGAATGCTCGGGACTGGTGTATTCGGGTGGTGGATGTGAGGCTTCATGCATGCCTAAGCCAGTAATGTCGATTACATGATCTCCAGAGGGTGCGAAGCCATGGCTAGCTGTACTCCCTTCGCCTGCCTCTTCCGTGGGAACTAACTGCGCCAGAGAAATATCCGTAGGGCTTCTCTGTGGTCCTGGGCTGGTAGGTGGGAGGACTCGGTAGCTGCCACTACGTGTTCTTGTGTGGCTCGCATCTTGTATTGGGCCTCGGGTGGTGTACGCCTGGAATGATTGTGAATAGGAATGAGTTCGTGATGGTGATCCTGGAGTCTCGTCTTTCCTACGGCCGGATTCAAGTAGGATGCTGCCTTGTTCGCTTCCATAAGGAGGTGGCGGCGCTAAACTGCCAGTCATCGGCGCGAGCCCCCATTTCTTTACGTTGGCTTCGATAAAGACGAAACCAGCCTGTCCGAAATTGACGTGAACGATGCAGGGTCCATTGGCGCCAACTGAAGGGAAGAAGTTCTGCGATTTCAAGCCATGGATAACATCGTCTAAACGCCTACCATTGCGAGTGAAGAAGATGGTGCCAGTTCGAGGGCGGTACCCAACACCGATAACATCGCCTTGAACAATGGGAGGACCGTAAGCCGTTGGCATGAACGGTTGGTTGAACCTCCGCGCGCCTGTAGATGTATAGGCAACAGAATGTTTATGGTATCCTGACACAAAGTTAGCGGCACATACGCCTACAGGAATACAACACGAATATACCTGGGAGCCTAAACAGCGGATAAGGTTTCGTAGACATTCCGATACTTAATAATGTGGTTTCGGGTTTCTCGTAGATCTTCGCCTCCCAGTAGTATACTTCATTTTGTTTTGGCACTGGTAAATTGCTCATGACGGTACACTCGGAGTCGAAGAATTCAATCTCGGTTCTGGCTTCGACAAAACAGTTGGCGATCTCCAATTCTGGTTCAAACTCCCATGCTGACACGCCTTTCTCTTGAATAGCTAAATATTGTGATAATGAAATGTCCGTCTGGACCGACTCGGGTGGGTTTCCTTGTATAAATGCTGGAGCGAGTGTTAGCTGGGAATACGAGACAACATTGAAGGAACGATCTTGTATCTGTAAGCGGAGAAGGGGAGGATATATCTCTACCTTTTGCTCTGAGGTATTCGGTTCTCTGCATCTCATCCATCGTCTCCAGAGCCTCAGCCTCTTCTCGCGCAAAGGCCTGCTCATCGTCATATTCACCAGGCCGGCCGATGCGGTCGAGGAAGATGCGACCAGATGCGGTGTGGCGAAAGAAGTAGATGACAAGGAAGATGATGGCCACGGCGACGGCAGAGCCAAAGGACGATAACAGTCCAATGACGATGCCATCCAGAGGACTCGTCATGTTGGGCTTGTGATGTTGGTGTGTTGATGGTGAAACGAACGAGCGAAATGGAACTCTCGGCTGGGACGTTTCCGTCACCGCTTCGCCACAATCATTCGGTCGTAGACTTGTCGAGGACGAAGACCCCGATGCTGCAGATAAGGAAGAAAGGATAACGAAAGCCGATAATAATATACTAAGATGCGAAGTAAGGAGTAATTGAGCGATTGGGCGAGTTTGTTGGGACGACGAGAGGGAGTTTGGTTGTTGAAGCGAAAGGCGGGAGGATTGCGGTTATCGTGATGGCCGTAAACGTTGTTGGTCGTGGTCGTGGTCGTGGTCGCACTTAGTTGCCTACGGGATCGGGTTCGAGCAAGGGTGGAATGTGTGGAATGTGGCGGCGATAAGGTGAGACGAGACGCTACGCTACTGTACTGTCAAGGTTAAGGGCCAGTTCGCGGAACGGACCGGGTTGTTGAAGGTGCTAAAGATGGCAGAAGAAAAGAAAAAGAACACGTAGAATAGTGTAGAAAGAAGACAGGGTAATGGGCAAAGAAAGTAAATGGTGTCGCTACCTACTGTTGAAACGACTAGAGTATAGATAGGTGAGGTAAGGTACTGGGAACTGGGGGTTGAAGGAGAAGGGCAAGCCAGCTTGGACGAGGCAGAAATGGGCAAAGGTCGTGGAGGTGACGAAGAAGAGAGTACGGTACCTTGGACACGAATGGGACGAATGCTACAGTAGAGAAGATTGGGGTCAATTTGGGGGGGAGGATATGAATGTAGTGTACCTAAGTAGAGGTAGTAAGGTTTCTGCTAGGTA